ACAACACCATAATTTGTTATTCTTAAATAGGCAATCCCACATATGGGTACCAAATTTGGGAGCCATCTACTAAACAGCACCCCAATTTGGTATTCTTAAATATGCAATGTCACATAAGTGTACCAAATTAGGGGTGCTACTAAACAGCCATTTGTTTCAACTAATACTTACTGAAGTTCACAGTTTAGAAAATTTAGTAATTTCTGAAATGAAACAATACCAAACAAAAACTAACCACATGTTCTCCACATGCACATGTCTAATCTATACTTTCCATGTTTTTTTTTAGTTATTGATTTAATGGTACTCTATAGATGTTCAACATTTGGTCCAGAAGCTAATTGACTATGAGTATGATGAGTCTGAAGAGGAGAGTTTAGAAAGAACAGGCAGAAGCCCAGTATTTTCTCTTGCATGTCCACCATCTCCAAGTAAATCTGTATCTACTGTCGAACTGCCTCTTCCAAGAGAAGCCCAGTATTTTCTTTGGCATCTCCACCATCTCCAAGTAAATCTGTATCTACTGTAGAACTGCCTCATCCATGTTGAGACATCAGCTGCACCTGCCACCACTGGCACAAGCAGCACACGCACTGTCAATGTAACCATCAACACCACCACCAATACCATCAACATCACCAGCACCAGCATCATCAACAGCCAAGTTGGTGTATATGCCAGTGTTGTAAATGCTTCCACTGCTACTGATGCAAATCCATCCATGTATTCAGCAGACACAAGGGAAAGGAAACTCAGTGATCACTCTGAGTGCATCCAAGAAGATGGGTTTGCAATTAACAATGAAGTGAGTGGGTAGGCGAGCGAAGGGTCAACTCACTAGTTCTAGTAAGAATCAACATCTTCAAAGATACCACAAATTTGTATTATTGAAGGAAGAAACAGAAGACATATAATGCTAGAGCAGGTAGCAGATCCTCTGGTGCTATGTCTGATTCTGTGTAGTGGTTACCATCTACCACCAGCTCTACCTCCATTACTACTGCCACCACACTATCAATCATCCTATGGATTAAACAAATATTATCTGTGGCACTTTTCCATTCTTTTTATTATTTTGTTATTTTATTATTTATTTAGTACAACTATAGTTAATTACCTAATAATATTTCTGCTGTCCTCTATTACCCCTAATTATAATACAATAATATATACACCATAAGAGTTTGTGCAAATATGTTGTGCCTATCAATAATCTATTCCCCACACTTGTAAAATAGAAAAAGAGAAAGCACAGTTTAGATGATAATCCCTTTTAGTCCGTTTTTCAGTTTCTTCTCTACTTTGGGGTTGAGCTTTTTCATGAAAATCTAATTGTGTACTTTATCTGGTACAGCCACCACTCCTCCTCAATAGGTGGAATCCTTTCCTGATTTTCTCTTTTTTTTCTTTTATAAGTGTGGAAGATAGTTTATTGATAGGTACCATAGACAATCAATTAGAAAATAAAAATAAATATAAGTTCCTCTTGCCTAACTGGTAGTGCCAGAGCCACGTACAGCCACTTTGAGTCACATATTTGAAATTGTATTACTTATGTTATATTTCT